TATTATAGACAATAATCCATAAAATTAATTATTAGGTAGGTTATATGTATGTTGCGGGGATAAATGTGAAATCATTATATCTATAGGTATACCTATTGCCTTTTACCGGACATTAATGACGATTAACTAATTTTATAAGGTTACTAATATCGTACCATCTAGGTTTCATCATAAATTTCCAAACACAACGATAAATTGGTTACCTATATTGTAAAAATACAAATATTACACCTATTTTACAACAATCGCCAGTAAAAAATGTGAATTTTATAGGTTACTGGCCTTACTGGACAAACATATTGTAAAACAATAATCACCAAAATGAACTTGATTTTTTTAATTAGTAGGTAAATGAGTTATGAGAATCGGATTGACATAAAAAAAAAATGTGTTTTAATTAAATATTATTTTATAATTAGATTTTAACCTAACCATAACTTTGCCTAAAGTAATTGGTAAGTAAGTACTACCTAATATTGATTATTTTACACGTGTAGGTAAGTATAGGTACTAAATAATATATTATATTATTGGTAGTAAATTGGGGTACGAACAAAGTCGAGTGTCATTGATAGTATTCATTAGTTGTTGACCGATTGATATTCTTTCTTTTTTCGCAATTTTATTCAACATAATATATTCTTCTAGATGTACAGGTGATAGGTATATATAGATAAACCTATAACAATAAYAATAAACCATGAATTACATAGGTATATCGTATATATATTATGTACCTACCCATCGTAGTATAGTAGTATTATATGTACATGGATTAAACAACAGTCGATTACAACTGATTTTGATGTAGAAACTTTCCCAACGGACAACAATCATTAACGTTTCCCGAAAGTTTTCGTGTACATAACCGAATATAATATATACCGGTATAATATAATAGGACATCGTACGATTCGAGTGTGGTGAGATTTTGAAGATTACTGTCGTCTCAAAAGTAACTTACATTATACATTTTAAAAGTCAGTGAGTCAGTCGCCGCTATTTAATATGTTATATTAATATATTGTAACATATTTGTACCTATTAGTTACCAGACATAATCTTATACAAAATTGTTTAATGATTGATACATATGACTGTACCTTAGTACCTACATTTTATGGATAGCAATGATCTCCAGAATAACAGATTCTACCTACACTATACCTCATCAATCCTTATTTTTTAGACTTTTTGTTATTTGATTACAACCTCAAGAATAACGATAATAATAATAATAATAAAAAAAACTGAGCAATGGAACATTAGGTAATAGATACAAAGCGTTTTAGGATCCAAGCGTTTGAAATTTCAATAATTCTTAATTAATTTAATTATAATAAGTTATAACCGTTATATAATGTATGAACTGTATGGCCATATACATTTTTTTCTGGATGGGGGTCCATGTTAACATTATTTTTATTTTATTTTATCAAGTGCTGAATTTAAGTTTTGAAGTATCGTCAAAAATATTTGGTAATAAATCTACAACATCCTTTTACTAATTTTTTAGTAATAAAAATAACTATTTTTTAGCAATAAAACGATCAAGATTCAAAAATCTATACGTCGATATATGTATTATAATAATTTTACTAACTTATTCAGATGTAATATTAGGTATTGTTGTTGCTACTTGATTATCGTCATCGACCGCGGTCATAGTGGCCGCGTCTATTAATTACAACTTATTGTTAGACTAGGTATAAAAATATAGTCATAGGATATAAAACTGCGATCTTTAAAAATCTTAAAATATTCAATTTAAACATGATTTTAAAACGAACCATTTTTATGACTAATTTTAATTCCTCACAAATTTCCACTCTATATAGAAGGTTTATCGATATTGAACAACTCTTTATAGTTTCATAGTGCTTATTTTAATTCCTATGATTGTCCACCGCATAAATATATTTTACTGTATACTTGGGTACTTAATTTATTATAGACATTAAAATCTATATTAATTTCTCTGGANTAAATTAATACAATCCCATTTTTTTTCCTGTTATTCCGAAAATTACTGAGAATTTTTTTTAATTTTGACATCCCAAGCGTACCAGTTGGATTTATTGTCCTACCGGAAAATGTATTAAAGTTGAAACAAATCATTTTATATTTTATAAAGTATAAATTGTGCATAACAGGTAAGTAGGTACATAAYATRCATACAATATACAAAKATCACACATCATTCAATCATTGAAAATCAATATATTCATTATTCCGAAAAAATACAAWTGTATCTATAAATTACAAACAAGAGAAAAGATTTTTGCAACAAAAAATAATTCAAACCTATATCAAAGTGACGAGGAGATTTCAATTTGACACGGATTTAAATAGTAAAAATAAATTATGTTAATTTATCATCATTAATAAAATTTTATTGTAGGYGAAGTTAGAAAAAATTTAATGCTTGCAATTTAATTCGTGTTTGGTATAATAACGGAATTAATTAAAATAATAACTAACAATTAGGAAGAAACATGTTTTGGATAGGATGACCTTTTGCTGATAAAATCAATTTTAATGTTCAGCAAAAAAATTAAGTTAATTAATAAGACAGCGTTTTCTTTTTCTCCGAATTAACTTGGCAAATATTTGAGAACATGTCTTTAAAAAACTAAAAATATAAATTTTAGTAGGTACATCGAACTAAATAAAAAGATACGTTTTTACATAATACGTCCACTTAAGAATGATTATTTTCTGTTAGCGAAGTAGAACACAGCCATGTAGGTCATAATAATATATAATATATATTATATACATATGCATGTGGTCTGATTTTAACGAACAGTTAATAGAAACAATGAAAGGAAAATTAGATTTTGAACTAAGAATTTCTGGTATGGACTATGGGGTAGGTAATAATAGGAACTACGGAGG